TTCCCCGAGCCCCTTCCTCCTGGGCTGGTGGAGAGCCAGCCTGCGGGACAGCAAGCTGAGGAGGCAGCGGTGCAGTGGTGCTGGGCCACGTGTCTGCCCCAGGGATGCCCTTGGGCAGCAGGATGGCTTCGCTGTTGCTACCTGGCCGGCTGCAGAGGAGGAGGTGACCCCGGGAGCTCAGCCCCGCTGCCCTGCTGTTGAAACCGCAGCTGCCAGGTTCAGGTTGCTGCCTGCCTGGCTCCGGGGCTAGGAGCGATTTGAACCCACTGGGGTCGCAGCCCCATGAAACATGAGCGAGCGGCAGGAACAGGAGCCCTGTTGGAGCTGGCTTTGGGGCCCCCTCCTCCGAGGGGCTGTGGGAGCACTGTCCAGCCCCAGCAGGGACGCCGCGGGGACGGAGCCAACAGAGCAGGGCAGGTCACGGGGCGCCTCTGCAGGATCTTGCACTGAAGTGGGCTCAGGCCAAGGGGACATGCTTGACTTTGGGGACGCAGCCCCTGTCAAGAGCCGGATGCTTGGGGAGCAGAGGCTTGCTGGGCTGTGCTTGGCGCCAGCGCACCAGGGAAGGGAGCAGCGAGCTTGTGGGGTTTCCAGCTCAGGCTTCAAAGACCGTCAGACCCAGCCGCCTCCCCCGGGGACGGAGCGGATGCTACCCCAGGAGGAGCAGCACAGGAGGACCTAGGGATTGACGATTTGCAAACCTGCCTGCTGATAAAAAGCAGTCTCTGGAGGTCCTGCCTGGGTTTGGGTGCAAGCCCTGGTGTGGCTGTGCCTCAGCCGTCCTGCTGGGAACGGCTCTTGGCAGCAACGCTGAAGGGCAGTATCAGTGGGGACAGGCGAGCCCCATGGCCCCAGCTCCTCTGCCTCGGGGGTCTCTGACCCTGCTAGCAGCATGCTGTGGGGCCTCTGTCCTACCTCTGCCTCGAAGGAGGGCTTTTGCATCAGCATCGCAGCGCAGATGTGCTCCTGTTCAGCCTGTGGGAAGGCACCAGCGTGGAGCCAGCCCTGGAGCTGGGCCGGGAGCGCTGCTCAGGTCTCAGCACTGTGGTGCCTGTTAAGGGAAGGGGCTTGCTGCTCCACAGGGAGCACCCCAGCCTCGCACGGGGCCAGACATCCCTGAGAGATGCCTGCCTCGGCTGCGCTAACCAGCCGGATGTCACGCTTGGAAGCACGGCAGCTAACTTCCGAGGGCTTTGTGTCCAGAAGAGAAATGGCCCCCAGCCAGAGCCGAGGCAGCAACTGAACAGTGCTCTCTGCCGATAGCAGCAGCAGCAAGAGCTCTGCTCTGGCTCCAGCCTGCAGAGCAGGTCTGGGAAGGGCTGGCTCAGCCTCCAGCAATGCCAGGAGGGAAGGGACAGGGGGCAGAGGTCAGTGCTGGGGCCCCGGTTAGTGCTGCTGCAGGGAAGGGCTCCTTCCTCCAGCACAGCCTGTGCCTGGACCCAGGAGTTCATCGGCGGGGGCAGGCAGCGGTTGCCTGATGTGTGATTAAGCCTGCCCAGTAGCTAGACTGCCCCTCCACTAGCACGCAGGGTGCGCAGGCTCCATCTGAGCCTTGCACGCACAACGGGGCAGCACACAGGCAGCAGCCGGGGCAAGGCGTGCGTGACCCACCTGGGCCAGGCAACCAGGGGCCACGTGTGCACGGCCAGCTGGAGCCAAGCACTGCTGGCAATGCAGGCACGACCCACATGGGGCATGCACCCACCAGCAATGGCTGCACACCCTGCCTGTGCTATGCACCCGGGGTGATGCAGGTGATGCATGCACCCCCCCCATGCAGGCAACGCACCCACAGGTGTTGCATGCACACCCACATGAGCCATGTACCAGAGGTGACGCATGCAAACCCCATCTGAGCCATGCACCCACAGGCAATGCATGCACACCCGACACGGGCCATGCATCCAGGGATGATGCATGCAAACCCCACGTGGGCCATGCAGCCATGGGTCATGCATGCATAGCCCACATGCAGCATGTGCCCGGGGAGATGCACGCCCACCCTACTGAGGCCTCCCTCCCCCCAGGTGTTGTATGCACACCCCACATGGGGCAGGCACCCACAGGCAATGCAAGCATGACCATACGGAGCATGCACCCGAGGTGATGCATGCACACCTCACGTGGGCCATGCACCCAGGGGAGATGCATGCACACCCCATGCGGGCCATGCACCCAGGGGTGATGCGTGCAAACCCCACGTGGGCCATGCACCCAGGGGTGATGCATGCACACCCCACGTGGGCCATGCACCCAGGGGTGATGCATGCACACCCCATGTGGGCCATGAACCCAGGGGTGATGCGTGCAAACCCCACGCGGACCACGCACCCAGGGGTGATGCATGCACACCCCACGCAGGCCATGCACGCAGGGGTGATGCGTGCATACCCCAGGCGGACCATGCACCCAGGGGTGATGCTATGCTTGCAGACCCCAGGCAGGCAATGCACCCGGGGTGATGCATGCACCCCCCACGCGGGCCATGCACCTAGGGGTGATGCGTGCACACCCCACGCGGGCTATGCACCCGGGGTGATGCATGCACACCCCACGTGGGCTATGCACCCGGGGTGTTGCTTGCAGATTCCAGGCAGGCAATGCATCCAGGGTGATGCATGCACACCCCACACGGACCACGCACCCGGGATGATGCATGCACACCCCACGCAGGCCATGCACCCCGGGGTGATGCTTGCACACCTCAGGCGGGCCATGCACCCAGGGGTGATGCTTGCACACCCCAGGCGGGCT